AATTGTGCAGTTGGAGTTAGACCTGTGGTTTGAGACTCAGCTTTGGGACTGAGCAAATCATTTCATGGGATCAGTTTTTTAAGCTTTAATTTCCTCATTAGGAAAAAAGAAGACAAAGTAATATTTCTTTGTAATAGAATTAAATGAGATAATGTCTTCAGAATGCCATATAAGTAAAGAAATTGTGAATCACCTGCACTGATTTCTTCCATAGGTTTTTTTTTTTCCTTTCTGAAAATACCTTGTATTGACCTTCGCCTAACTTTGTATTTGGACAACAGGCCACAGTCCTAGCAGACCTTTAACCCTCCTGACTCCAATTTCAGTAATGTGTTAGAAGTGGCAGGGACAGAATATATTCTGGATTCATTACACTAAATATAGAGATATATACAAAACGAGGCTGAACTCACACTCCAGTGGGCGGTGTCAGTTTGCCTGTGAGACAGCGCCATGCAGCTGCAGCCACTAAGTGTCTAGGCACTGGAGACGGACTGCTGGAGTGGGAATCCTGGCTCCATTCGACCTCTCTTTGCCTCCATGTTTGCCATCTGTGGTGTGAGTGTGATAATAATTCCCATCACATAAGCTTGTGGTATGCACATGAGATCATTTTGAAGTACTGAGCCTAGTACCCAGCATATAGAAAGAAATGGGGCTTTTATTATAGTAATACTAATTTTTAATTGTGGTAAAATACACACAACATAAAATTTACCATCGTAACCATCTTTACGTGTACATCTCGGTGGTGTTGAGTATATTCACATTATTGGATGGCCAAATTCCAGAACCCTTTTATTGTGTAAAACAGAATAAGACAAAGTATATCCATTCAACAACTCTTCATTTTCCCCTCCCCTCAGCCCCTGGCAACCGCCATTTAACTTTCTGTTTCTGTGAATTTGACTACTTTACATAGTGGAATCGTATGGTATTTGTCTTTTTGTGACTGTTAGTATAATGATTAAGTCTTAGCCCACTGTAACAGTTGTACCCTTTCATGTTTTAGATTTCTGTAGGCTCAGGATTGCCTGCCTTCTCAAACCCTGGTTATTGGTGGATTATTTCTCTTTCTTTTCTTTTTTCTCTCCTATTTTTTAGAGATAGTCTTGCTTTGTTGCCCAGGCTGAAGTGCAGTGGCATGATCATAGCTCACTGCAGCCTTGATCTCCTGGGCTCAAGCAGTCCTCCTGCTTTAGCCTGCCACACGTAGCTGGGACCACAGGCACAAACATCATGCCTAGATAATTTTTGAATTTTTGTAGAGGTGGGGTCTCACAGTGTTGCCCACCCTGGGCTTGAACTCCTGGGCTCAAGTGATCCTCCTGCCCTAGCCTCTCAAATCACTGGGATTATAGGTGCACGCCACTGTGCCCAGCTGAATTATTCTTAAGGAACAAGATGACACTTCAGAGCTCAATTTCATCCTTTTGAAGAGAGGGGCAGGATTAGGCAAAAGGAGAACACAGAAATGATAGTGAAAGAGATACAGAGGTGAGCATTAAGTAAGCAAAAGAGCATTTATTCAGGGCAGAGTAGAGTCTCTTTGTGGGATTCCTTCTTCCCTCTCTGCCTTCTTCCCTACCAGGTAAAAATTCAAACCTACACAGTAATAGAGAGGATGATATAACCAAACCCTAGGGACCTGTCAGCCAGATTCAACAGTTACCAGATTTTTTAGGGCCCATTTGTAACATGGCCCAGGTGGAAGAAAATGCCTAAAAAATCTAGATTAACCTAGAGGCAGGTGTTTCTTTGCTTATTTGTGCAATTTTATTTATGTCCTTCCTGATAAAGGGCTTCTTCTGCCTTGGGACTTCTTACTGTCTAAGGTTGAGGTAAAGAGCCAGGACTCTATGAAACCGAGTTACTTTAACTTCATCCATGCAGGAGAGCACATGTGGCTTCTAAGGGTGGTCATAATGGAGTGTTTGGCGCAGGGCCTGTTGCCTAGTAAGTAATCATTTACACTGTCAGCAATGGTGGTGTGTTTGTAGAAGGGAAGGGTCACCAGCCAGGTCCTTGAAAACACGGGACTGAGATGTGCAGCTGGGGGTCAACACAGTTATACTGTATCATTGATCAAGGATTGGGATGAACGCTGATTTTCTAGAATTGCACCTACTGTATGTTCATTATCCCATTTTACTGGCCATTGTACAGGTTCTATCCTCGATTGTGCTGAGTTAAGGGAAACAGTTGTTTATCTGCAAAATTAGGTAGTGTAACTTTTTAATATGCTTTTTTGATGGTGATGGGATTGCCATTTACATTAAAAACATTTTATGGGTTTTAAGTATAAATAAAAATACCACAATTTGAATAACTAGAGAATATATATTTGGCTTCATGGATCACTTTGTTGTTTTTGTTCTTTGGAATTCTAGGAGGAATTCTGTCTACTAATAAAGGCTGTAGACTTTACCCTCCTATAACCTTAGTATATAAGAAACGTCCTAAGATAGATGCCTGGGAGGAAAAGGAAATTGAGGGCCTACAGATGTTTAAAAACTTATAGTTTATAATTGCATAGAGCCTTTGATTTCTCCACCTCCCCCCCCCACCGTCCCCATCCATCTGTAGTACCCAGAGAGCCTTTGGTTTTGTTGTAATATTTTCACTTTTGAATCTAGTTTATCATATGAATCTGTTTTCTGTTACATTTTGGGGCATGGGAGGATCTGCGTTCCCAAAATCCAGAGTAGTTTTAAATGTTTTTCTGCGTCAATATGCAAAAGTATCATGAAAGCAAAATAAATTGAAAATAATTGAGTCAAAATATTATTGTTCCTCCAAAGATCCTTACTTAGTCGTGTGTCACAACTTGTATAACAGGACGTATTTTGCAAACCTGTTTAGTTTGCACTGACTTGTGCAACAGGAATGGCCAGTTTTCCTTATGCCCAGGGCAGTCAAACACAACTTTATAAGAATTGTAACTTTAAAAGATTTCATGTTTTTTTTGTGTGTGTGTGTGTGTGTTGTTGTTAAAATCAGTTGGTGAAATAAATTCAATAGTAAAACTTCTAAGATTGAGTCATTAAACCTCTAAATATGCTGGGGGTTTTTTCTGTTCTATTCTGTTCTTTTTTTTTTTTTTGGATACAGTCTCACTCTGTTGCCCAGGCTGGAGTACATGGCACGATCTCAGCTGACTGCAACTTCCGTGTATTGGGTTCAGGCGATTTTCCTGGCTCAGCCTTCCGAGTAGCTGGGACTACAGCCATGTGCCACCATGCCCGGCTAATTTTTGTATTTTTAGTAGAGGCAGGGTTTGACCATGTTGGCCAGGCTAGTCTCAAACTCCTGACTTCAGGTGATCCACCCACCTTGGCCTCTTAAACTGTGGGATTATAGGCATGAGCCACCGTGCCTAGCCTAAATATGCTGTTTTTCATCTCTATTATCCGGTCAACCAGTTTCTTTCCTCCTTTTTTGGAGACAGGGTCTCACTGTGTTGCCCAGGCCGGTCTCAAATTCCTAACCTCAAGCAATCCACCCCCCTCAGTCTCCCAAAGTTCTGGGATTACAGGCATGAGCCACTGTGCCTGGCAGGTCAACTAGTTTAATTAGAAGACTTGGGTTATGTCTTCTACAGCTTATGTAATATAGACATGTTTATTTTTAAATTAACCTTTGTATGAAATGAAAAAAGAAATCAGTTATTTGATAAATACAATCCTTCACTGCCTCATTCTGTTGAATGCACTTGTTTCATAATTTTCCTTTTATGAAGAGCATATGTTATCGAAGGGAAAAAAGGGGCAGATACATATATTACTATGTTTTTTCTTTTTTTTTTTAATTTTAGGATACATGTATTACTAACAACACACACAAAGCATGTAGGTTTGAGTTCATTTGGAATTGTCTTCTCCACTCTTGGTTGGGATACCCCTAAATTGTTTTAGATGTTGGTGGTGTTTGTGTTCTTTGTCACCCTGTCTATGGTGGCACACATTTGTGAAAAGGCCACCTGGTTTACTGTAGGTGTGGAGAAGTCCATGGCTGTGGACTGGAGCAAAAGTAACCAACAGAAGTAGGATTAACGCTGTGAGCATAGCCTCCTGCTAACTAGCTGAGCTTTCTGGCCGTGGTTTTTGGTTCTATTGATATAAAGAGATGTGCAGGGGCTGAGTGACGTTCCATGCGTGTGCGGTCACCTTGTGATTCCAAGACGCTGTGGCCCCTCAGCACATCCTCACCGTGCCCTCATTCTACTTTCTGCTGCTGCTGCCTTTTTTGTCTGTCTATACCAGGGTGCAAGCAGGCAGGATCAGTTAGCCCTACCTTTATCAGTGGCTTTCGGAAAGGATCTTCTGGAGGAGGAGGAGGTGGTGTGTGCTACCCTCCTTCCCCCACCATCACTGCAAGTACCTGAGAGTAGTAAGTTGTGTTAAGGAAAGGGAGGAAGGGACTTTGGGGATCCTAAGACTTCTCTGTCACAGGCGTGTCAGGTGGACTCTTCTCTATTAGCCTTTTCTTTCTTTCTTTTTTTTTAAATTTAACTTTTAAGTTCAGGGGTTTGTTATATAGGTAAACTTGTGTCATGGGGGTTTGTTGTACAGATTATTTCATCACCCAGGTATTAAGCCTAGTACCCATTAGTTATTTTTTCTTATCCTCTGCCTCCTCCCACCCGCCACCTCCAGCAGGCCCCAGTGTGTATTGTTCCCCTCCCTGTGTCCATGTATTCTCATCATTTAGCTCCCACTTATAAGTGAGAACATGTGGTATTTGGTTTTCTCTTCCTGCGTTAGTTTGCTGAGGATAGTGTTCTCTAGCTCCATCCACGTTCCCGCATAACACATGATCTTGTTCTTTTTATGGCTGCATCCCTTAGCCCTTTAACTCATCATGCGTGACAGCTGCCTTTGAATTCTTCCTTCCATAGCCCCTTCTTGTAAGGTGTGCATCAGCTTAGTTACTCCGGGGACTTCCTCTGTACCACACATGCCCTTTCTCTTATTCCTGGGTGCTCTCTTCTCTCCTCACAGTCTTCCGTGTGTGCTAAGATCGTGCAGCTCCTGGGGCAGAATGAGGTGGACTATCGCCAGAAGCAGGTGGTCATCCTGAGCCAGGATAGCTTCTACCGTGTTCTCACCTCGGAACAGAAGGCCAAAGCCCTGAAGGGCCAGTTCAACTTTGACCACCCGGGTGAGTCGGGGTGTTAAAGGGGGTATGTATGTGTATTGGTGTAGGGGGGAATATTTTTATTTTGCTCATGAGGAAGTTGCTTAACCTCTCAGAATCTTACTTCTATCTAGAACGTAGGGACTTGACAAACTACCTTGCAGTGTTATTGTGGGGCTTATGTGAAAGAAGGAATTTTCAGATGCTTCATGTAGTGCTTGGCTCATTAAATACTGATTGAATCTGTATCTGAACAAAGGTGATTTTGTATGAGCCTGGGACTCAAGATGGGCCAGACGTGGGGTCGAACATACAGAGCTGGTCCTTCTGCTGCCTCTGTTCTGAGGCAGCCGTCGTCAGACCCTCCTCCCCACGTGGACATGTGTGTTCAACCCGCTCTGTGGCAGAGAGGGAGGTGGAGGGGCAGGGTGGCTGCCAGAATGGTTTTTGCCCTGCAGCCCTAGATCAGCACACTGCTCCTTTAGCTGGCTTGGGTTTCTTAAAATTGTTAGAAGCAAACCGTGGCATGGTGCCTATTGTGCGCACTCCCCCAGTCACGGGTGTGCTTTCCAGGTTAGTTTAGCATGTGCCAATCCTAGGATGATAACAGCTAAACTTGGAGAGGGGAAAGACCTGTCTGAAGTCAGGGATGGAATGTCAAAGGAGAAAAAAAAAGAAATCTGTTTGTCAGAACTCATGTATACACCCTATTTTGAGATACAGGGAGCTTCCATTCTGCTTTGGGTAAAAATTCAGCTTTTTAGGGAGCAGTATGATTACCTTTAAAGTATGATGTGCCCATATACATGTTTATGAGGATGTCCTGTGTATGATTATAGGAGATACTATTTTAAAATTAAGAAACATTTTAACAATTTGATATTTTTCAGATGCCTTTGACAATGAACTCATTCTCAAAACACTCAAAGAAATCACTGAAGGGAAAACAGTCCAGATCCCCGTGTATGACTTCGTCTCCCATTCCCGGTAAGTAAGCTGTTCTGGGCCAGGGATGACACCCGCTGCTCCCCAGAGCATCCCTGGTCTGCACTGAGACCTCCTTCCTTACCTCCTGCACTTCAGACCTCTGTCCTACCCCTGCCTAATGCCATTCCAGCCGGTCAATGGAGTGAGTGGTGGCAGCAGTGTGTGCTGTGGGATTGCAGAGGTTGGGGAGTTCATCTGGGCGCTTCCTGGAACAGTCCTGTTGTCACGATTCCTTAACTCCGAAGGATGGGATCGTGATTTGAGCTTGAGGGACTGTATGTGCGTTCTGATCCACATTCCAGTGCTGTTGTTCCTGGAACAAGATGTAAGGGGAGGGGTAGAGGAAGGGCAGGAAGAAGAACAAAGAAAACTGTTCTTTCTGCTGTCCTGGTTTACTTGGGATTGGACAATGTGGAGAGGCACGAGGTCACCAGACTGTGATCTCAGAATTAACCAAGCCCTCCAGAAAGCTGCTCAGTGGAATCAAAGCAGTCCTTTCCAGTGAAACCTCAGTTTTAGTGCTCCTGATTAGGAATAGAGGAGCGGCCACACTTCCACCTCATCCTCCTTCCCTCTGAGTGGTGGGAATGGGCTTCTAGAGGATTGCACTCCTGCTGGCCAGACCCCAAGCTCCTTCAGAGCTGCACAGAGCGTCTCAGACCTCAATGTAGAATACACACATCTTCCCGTGAGTCTGAACTAGAGAGCGTAGTGAAGATTTGGTTGCAGGAGGAAGATGAGAAAGAGAGAGAGAATGAGCATGCATGTGTGTGCATTGAGGTGTAGAGGGGGCTGTTTTGGTGCTTACCTCCATGCCTCACCAGAATCTTCTGAAACACTTCCTTCTATGGGCCAGGTTCTTCTGTGTAGGAGAGAGAAGAGTAAAGATCAGGATACCATCCTCACGCTTCCCGTGTCAGTCTGTTTTCCTAACCCAACCACTGCAGATCATGGAGGAATGAATGAAGGCATTTAGTATAGGATTTGGAGCTTACATGAACATTGGGGCTGGGAGACTGAAGACCTGGAAGTTTGTAGCCAGAGAATCAGACAAAATAGTCCCCACTGACTCTAGCCTGAGGCACTGGAGCAGAAGCTGGGGTTCATGGAAAAGTCCAAGAAACCCCCACGTCTGGGTTTGCAGCCTCAATCTAGGAGCTTGTGGACTGTTTGCAAAGTTTCCCTGTCTCATTATTACCATCTCCTGAATATCGTGGATTTTGCTTCACTCTCACCTTCTAAGTCTCTTGTTGGCGCAGTAACCCGGAAGCCTGTGGGGAAAGGGATTCTGAGAATTGTAGTTCTCCCTTAGGGGGAAGTGCTGGCGGTGTCAAGAGACATTCCAGCCCACCACTTCCCAGGTGAAGAGTTAAAATGCAGCATGATGGCTAAGGCAAGGGCCTGCAGAAGAATGTAAAGGAGGGAGGAAGAGCAGGGGATTCAGAGCAGGTTGTATGGAGGAAGTGATATTTAAGCTTTAGATAGGAAAGGATAAGAAGTTGTTTGGGAAAAGGATTTCCAAGGTGCTGGGCATTTCAGAGCTGGGCACAGATCAGCTTGGTCAGGGCCCGGCAGAGGAGAGGTTTGGAGGAATGGGAGTGGGTGTGTGGGAAGGCAGGCAGGCCTCAGGTCATGAAAGGCCATAGGCGGCAGGGCCAGGAGCACAAACATTTTGTCAGTAGGGAGCTACAGACGGCTCTACTGTGGTAGTGGAAAGGTCATTGTGGTGGCAGGAGGAGAGAGTATCTGCAATGCCGTTTGTGAAGACGCCTTTGGAACAGCCCCAGTGAGAGACGAATAAGGGCCTGAAAGAAGGCAGTGGAACTGAGCGTGGTTGACGGAAGCCAGGGCCTGCCCAGTGCAGTCTAGGAGTGGAGGAGAGAAGTTGAAGACCTCGTGCAGCACGAGTTCCATCAAATTCATAGGCCAACGAGAGAAAATGCTGGTAGAATTCCCAGTGCAGACATATTTCACGTTTCCTCCTGATTTATCTCATACCTTATATTTTAAAACCTTGTTCTTTAGTGGCTTAAAGCTCATGTCTTAGAAACTTTCACTGATCACGCTAGACCCATAGCCACCCCCTTCCCACCTCCCTGCAAATCTTAAGGGCCACTTAATTGGACATCGAGCCATTCAGGGTTAACTGATTCCATCCCACCCATGGACGTTTGGTACAAATAAAAATTTCTTGGGCTAAAATGAAGAAGATGCTTACTTGTTGCCATTACACTTCTCTGAGCATCCTTTTCCCCATAAGCCAAATGAGATGGTTAGACTGGGTTATCTCAAATGATCTAATCGGCTAGTTTCTTTTTGGGACTTTCCATCCAGACCCTAAATTCCTAAGTGGTATATTAAGCCAGGTATGACTCCTTGCACATTCTGGTCTAGTAGTTGCTCAATAAATTTGTTGTTGTTTTTTTAAAAACTCTGAGCTCTTATGACAGTTTTTAGACCTGCATGTGGACTTGGGAAATGATTAATTCTAACTTTCTTAAGGCACCAGCAACAAATGAGGCAGTTCATTTTCTCCTTCTGAAGGAAACCCACTTTTCCTTTTTAGTATTTATCAATTAGGCATCCTAAAATGCTGTTAATATCTAGTGTCAGTACAGATTGAACATCCCTAATCTAAAAATCCAAAATGTGAAATGCTCCAAAATCTGAAACTTTCTGAGTGCCCATGTGATGTTCAAAGGAAATGCTCGTTGGAGCATTTCAGAGTTTGGATTTTCATATTAGGGATGCTCATTGTAGATCCTTTCTCCCCCTGCCATATTAGGGATGCCGTAAATATAATGCAAATATTCCAAAATCTGAAAAAAATTCAAAAATCCTAAACACCTAAGCATTTCATATAAGGGATACTCAAAACCTGTATATGTAAACTTAGTGCAGCCATTGTGTTCTCTGTTAGTGTGTTCAAGTGGAATCTCGCATGTACATTCACTTCATTTTTAGACAGAGTGCTCCCATCCTCTCCTTGGTGTAGGGCAGTTGTCTAGAAAGCGGCTCACTATTTACCCATTGGTCCTGTTTTCTGAACTCTTCTAGGTTGCCTTCTTATCCGCAATGGGCACACCATTTTCTGGCGGCTGACATTCCTCTAGACTGGTGCTTCTTCACCATGGCCGCATGTTAGAAATATCTTGGGAGCTTCTAAATAGCATTGAAGTTCTAGCTCCACTTCAGACTTGTGAAATCAGAGCTCCTGGGGGGTAGGATCCAGGTAGGGATATTTTTATAAGCTTCCCAGATGGTTCTGATATGCATCTCAGATACACCACAATTCTAGGGCATTTCCTAATCCTAGTCCTTTTCTCCCGTCTTCCCTGCACTGTTCTGCCACTTGCTAGCTACCCCAACAGTGCCTGCCTTAAAACTCATACACAAGCCCCGTGGTCCAAGCTAAGAAGGCATCAGGGAGTGTTTGTGGGAAGGAGTTCCAATGGCACCCTCTTGAGCTGGCCGTTGATAACTGACCTCCTTATGCTCGCCCAGATGGAACTACTGTTTTAAGAGACTTTGTTTTATTTGGTTTGCCAGTGTGCTAGTCAGGGTGACGGAAAAACTTGAGATGATGATTATTACTCTATTTTCAGTGAATTTTGAGCAAGAGGCAGTTGGTGACATGTAAGGTGGGCATAGGACAGAGTCAAAAGACAAAATACAGTGAAAGCTGCAGCAAGGCAGAGCTGAGCACAAGCAGGGCCATCTGTGAAAGCCCATCACCGAACCGTTTAGCAATGTTTCACCCTTCTTGCTTTTTGAAAAGGCGTGTTGGCTGGGCTTGGTAGCTCATGCCTGTAATCCTAGCACTTTGGGAGGCTGAGGTGGGTGAGTTGCATGAGTCCAGGAGTTAGAGACCAGCCTGGGCAACATGGTGAAACCCCGTTTCTACTAAAAATACAAAAATTAGCCTGACGTGGTGGTGTGCATCTGTACTCCTAGACACTTAGGGGGCTGAGGCGGGAGGATCTCCTGAGCCTGGGAAGTTGAGGCTGCAGTGAGTCCAAGATTGTGCCACTCTCACTCCAGCCTCCTGGATGACAAAGTGAGACCCTGTCTCCAAAAACAAAAAAGAGAAAGAAAAGTCATGTTTACAATTAGTGCCTGCCCTAGGCTTCCCAACCATGTGGGTTAGGTGGATGAAGTCATGCATATTTCCGCTTTATTGATAAGGAAGAGCAGCTCTAGGGAGCTCAGGATTGACCTGTGGCCACTGCATTGGCTTGGGGTAGAGCCAGACCAGACAGACCTCGGGATTCTGTATTTCCTCACAAATGCTTTCTCGTCTGTATCCTCTTTCCCAAAACTTTTATTTTCCCTCCTTCCCTTCCCCTCCCCTTCTGTCCTTTCCTCCCTCCTTTTCAGCTGCCTCAGGACTGGCGGGGAGGGGGTGGGGTTGTTGAGAGAAAACTGTAAGTTTCTGTTTTTAAAGTTCAGAGTGTTAGGTTCCATAAATGCCAGGCATGAGAGCATTCTGGAGACGCCTTCAGAGAAAAAAAGAAATCACATCTGTTTTTGTCTGCCTTTATTCTTCATTCAACAGCAGGTTTTTTTGATTCCAAGGAGAAGGATGTCTGCCCTGTATTTCTGTTTCATGGTGAAAGCTCAGAAGAAGTGGTCACAGGAGACCTTTGTCCCAGCCGTGATCACCCTTGGCTCTTTGGTGGTGGTGTAAGGCTGTATTAGCCGAGTCTTGAGCTCCTGCTTGAAGTCTGTGGGGGCAAGGAACTCAGAACCCAGCCCAGCCAGATGTTCTGGCCCTTGTTCTCTGACCCTTGCTAGCCCCTGCCTGGCTTGGCCCATTATCTGCTCTGTGCTTTACAGGAAGGAGGAGACAGTTACTGTCTATCCCGCCGACGTGGTGCTCTTTGAAGGGATCCTGGCCTTCTACTCCCAAGAGGTACGAGACCTGTTCCAGATGAAGCTTTTTGTGGATACAGATGCGGACACCCGGCTCTCCCGCAGAGGTGCGTTCTAAAAGCCCCAGGTGGCCCTGTTGGTGGCCACCTCGAGGGCAGAGGACCTGGGAGCCTATGACAGGACCCCACCCCCCGCCCCCCGAGTCTGAAGCCCATGCCTTCCCTGAGGCAGCTGTGTGTCGCATGGTCCAGCGGCTGCGTCAATCCAGCCCCAGGATATCCTGCTGCCCAGACACTTGGTGACATTTGAGAAGGGATTAGTCACTTACTGTTTGGGATAACGAAAGACTTGTGAGGTCAGAGACTAAATAAGACATTGATGTCTGGTTTTGCTGGGAAAAGTTTGATTAAATGCTTAGTTCCTTGCAATTTGTGCACAAGACATCAAAATGAAGATGCTCTGATTTGGGGAACTAACTGTAGGACCCCTGAGGACAGGATCCCCTGTGCCTAAAGCGCTGGGCAGCTCATCCTGTTAGCCTGCTTCTCTAGCCCTTTATTTTCCAGCAGGCTTTATGGAGGCATTACCACTCTTTCCAGTCAGCTCAGGAGGGAAGTCAGCTGTTACCTCCGCAGGCCGTGCTGAGGGTGGGCCTGCCCGTGCTAAGTCCGCCATGCCTGCGTGCTGAAGGTACAGCGATGCCCCTTGGTAGAGGAGCCCAGCCTGTGAACTGAGCTCTCTAGGGTATTAAGCAGAGAGTCTGCTTCTACCAGGAAGGAGAGATTGGGAGACTTCATGGAGGAAGAGGGGTTGGGACTTGGATGTGGTGTAGCAGGGTGGCGATATAGGCAACCCATGAAGGTGCACAGCACAGATGTACAGACAGTGGCTTGTTCTGAGAATGGCAGGAACCTGGAATGTTCAGAGCATTGTACGAAGAGACACGAGAAAGCAGGTTGGGGTCTGGTGTTAGAGACTGAGATCTCTAGTCTGGGTCTCGGTGGGCAAGGGAAAGCTACTCTGAAGTTCTGAGCAAGGCAAGTGAAGTGGCCACTGTTCTGTGTTGGACACTGGTGCTGACAGAGGAAGTGTAAGTGAAGCCTGTAGCTGGAGCAGCTCTTTGGAGACGGCTCTGCTGATCTAGACACGAGGCAGGGGTGTGGTCCTTAGGTGGGTGGGAGAGGGGAGCAGAGTTGAGATGAGAAGAGTATTAGCAGAGTTAGATGACCAGGACCCAGCAAGGGCAGTGGGTGGGGGTGACTGAATAGAGGAATGAAAGGTGAGAAGGTTTGAGTCTCCTATGTGTGAAAGAGGCAGGGAGACACAGGAAATGACGACGAGGTTAGCTCCTAGTCACAGGACACATTATTGACAGTTTCAGATTTTATAAGCTCTATCCCAGAGACCTCTGACTTCAAAGTCTGGGTACTTTTCTCCTTTCGGTTCATGAAACAGATCTGTAGTTTATCCCATTTAGCACTGTAATTGTAAGGACTATTAATGAGACCAGTATAACCTATAGAAACAAGTCCTGAGCTTGGTCCTTCTAAGTAGTAATAGATATGCATGCTGTTAAGTCAGTCGGAGCTACATCCTGCTCCCACGTGGGGTGGGGACAGTTAGTTTTGTGTGATGGAAAAAAGAATGGAATGGGAGGGGCCTTTTAGTTCTAGCAGAGCTCCTCCCAGCTAGCTTTGTGACTAGGCTCTTGCGCCACCCCGGCTTGGGTTTCTTTATGGATAATGCAGGGCAGACAGGCCTGCTTTTAGTGTCACGACTTTGGCTGGGTGAGACTTGCATAGATAATTGAACCCTGAGCCTGACGGCCCCTCATGCTTCTACCCCAGGGCCTGGCTTGTCACCTTAATCCACAAACTCAGGCCCTACTTTGGTTGATCTGCTCAGTGTCCATGTCAGCTTGTCAAATTAGAAGAGGTAGCGTGATACACAGGGACAGATAAATTTTGGAGTCAGGTGAGCTGGGCTGAGATCCTGGTTTGACCACTTACTAGATGTGTGACCTTGGGCAGATTGTGTTTAAACTTCTTTGTATCTCATTTTCTTATTAGAATGTGGTCTTAGGGTTGGTACTTCTGCCGTAGTTGTGAAGATGAGAGGTAATGCAGGTAAAATGCCTGGTGATGCATAAGTCGATAAATATCTATGTGGCAGATCAGAAATCTGCTTCTGCCGAAGGGGTTGGTGCTGTTCATTTTCTGAATTTTCTGACAAGACTGGTTAGGTCCTTCAAGGGGATCTGCTCAGGTAATGTCCTCAGGAGCTGGTGATGTCCAGGCTGATGCCATCACTAGTCCAGCAGTGGTACTCAGTGTCAGGGATGCAGTGCTGCTGAGGGAGGCCTCACAGCAGGGAGTGCAAGAACCAGCACAGGAGATTGGAACCAAGTTTTGAGCAGCAGCAATGACGCTGGAAATAAAGTGCATCCTAGTGTCTAATTCAAACAGATCATCACGGTGTGGGTTCAACAGAACATTTTCCCTTCCTTTCTTGCATGGGATTCTTGTGTGAAATGGGAGCAGTTCCTATGGTGGTGCTGGCCCTCTCCTGGGGTTTCTTAGGGCCAGCTCTGCCTCTCCGCCTTCTCTGAACAGGCTGCCTGGGCAAGGCTCTGCTTTCTCATTTCAGATCTGCTGACTTCACATGTCACCTACTGCCGAGTCACTTTCCTGATGGACTCATGGGACTTTTCTGCATGCTATTTCTACAAATTCATTCTCTCTCCACGTAGGACAAAAAATATGCTTGGCATGTGCTTTGTGGAGTGCGGGGGTGCTGGGGTAGGGAGGCTGGTTAGTCAGAAGCAGCTGTTGAGTGAGCTTGAACATTCCTGGAGACTTGAGTTAGCTCCATGATCTTACCCGTCTGTCACATCCTCCTGGGCATGTGACCTCCACATTCTGAGTTGACCCTCATGTGGGAGAAATCTGTATTTGAGTAAAGCAGCTCTAGAGACTACCTCCTTCCTGATAGAAACCCTTGACATTCTAGGGATTGGTTTCTAGCCTCGTTTGCCTTCATCTTCTCTCTCAGCCCTTAATACAGGGACAGGGAAGAAGCGGGGCAGGGAGATTTAGGATGGCTGATCCCTCATCTTCCTCATGCATCATTCTCTGGTTCACATAGAATTAGGGCTGTACTGGGCCTAGGGAGATTCAGCCTGTTCATTTACTATAGAGTAGCACATTTCCTCATCAGATTTTTAAAGTGATTGACTTCACCATTGAGGAATTGTCTTTATTTTGGGTCCTTCTAAGTTTTGTTCTTGGTTTTTGGCTAACCAGAAAGAGCATATCTGGGTTTGGAAGGGCTGACATGGAAGCCCAGCAGGGAATGTGGGCAGACTTGTAGCTTCCTGCCCTGTACCCTGTCCTCCGAAAGGGCCTGTCCTGGCCCAGCAAACGTGCTGGGGTCAGAGCAGTGATGGAGGAGCTGGTTTTTGAGCCCCTGGGGTTTCCAGTTTGTGCCAAGACCTTGTTTTGACTCAGTCCTTGGCGCAGCCCTGTTTCCTGACTCTGCCTGGGGAGCAGGGCCTTTCAGTGCAGGGAGGTGGCTGGCCCTCTGTTGTTCTTGGCTCAGGGAGGCCCAGTCTGCCTGAGGTGATCGTTCTATCGGAGGTTCTTGGGGAGCAGAGGTGGGCAAGGCCTTTTGATGTTGCGTGTTCCCAGTGTCTGGGCAACATTCTGACCCATTCCCCATTTGCTTTTCTAGCATAGAAGCTGTAGTGAGACTCTTCCTTGTCTTCCTTCTTCTCCCTCCTCACGTTTGTTGTCCCATGTGCTTGTGGCCTGCTCTCCCTTACTGTGTGGCACCCCGCCCTTCCAGCTGCCCTGCAGGACTCCTTTTTCCCTTTGCTCACCCTGCTCAGCTGGGTCTGACCTGCTTACCTGAATTCGAGGTTCCCGCCCTCCCATGGCGTTGAGCAGCTCTGTCAGGGAGACACCACCCTCCCAGCGTGCCCTCAGTTTCTGTTGTGGTCGTAATAATCATAGAACACATGCTTATTGAACATGTGCTAAGGCGCCAGCTATGGGTGCTGAAGAATTTTATGCACATCTCTGTATTCCTGAATAGTAATATTTATATTTGTTTATTAAATTAATATTTATGAGGAAGGTACCATTATTGTTCCTGTTTTATAGTTAGGGAACTTAAGATTCACAGAGGTTAAAGTCACTTGTCCAAGGTCACAGAAGTAGGAGTTATTGGGGTCAGGATTCAGGTCCAGGGCAGTTTCCCCCGCCCCGAGCCCACAGAGGTAGAACAAAAAGCAGCTTTTGGGCTGTAGAAGCTTCACTGTGATTTACCTCCTCTTCCTACTTTCTGCATGACCAGCTTCCTCTCGCCAATGACAAAACAACTGAAGCCACCAGGTCTATAGAAGGAAGGGGGCTGAAGGCCCAGGCTGAGGGCAGTAGGAGGACTACGTGACAGGGTGTGGACGTGCACTGTGTGTGCGTGCGTGTGTGCACGTGTGTTTGTATGTGTGCACGTGTGTGTGCGCGCGTGTGCTGGAAGAAGGACAAAGCTTCCTCCAGTGCTACAGCCTTCGGCAATTATCTGAAAAGCATGTGTTGCGAAACAATCCTAGCATCAGGCGTTTGCAGAGCTTTAAGTAAAAGCTGCCCAAGCACACACAGAGTGCTTGTGTGTTTGTTTTTTCCTAGCTGTGATACCTTTTTGATCTGATTTCCTTTTTTCTTTGGGCTTTATCTGGAGATGTGTGAAGAATTGGAGGCCGCGCTGGCTGTGTGTTTTGGCAGTGCTACTCTGGTTAGCCACGTGTGCCGGAGCTCTGGGGATTTTTGGGGGGTGAGCCACGTGGCAGCTCCTCAGGGCTCCTTCTTGGCGAGTCTCCCAGCAGATCTGCCAGAGCAGCAGGTCGGCAGCAGGAGCCCAGGGCCAGCGTTGCAGGGGTGGGGAAAACCATTTCCTGGCTGGAGAAGGCTGCTGCCGGGCTGGGTGGGCAAGTCCTGACACATTAGCGACCAACCAACTGTTTTATTACCAGGTCTCCCATGGAGAAAACACTTCGTAAATCGGGGAGCTGTTACAAAAGTCAAATGGCAGCATCATTAGTGCCCGGCTTTCTGGAAATGTGGATTTCCTGGCAATTTTCTAGCCTTCTCATCTTCTAGACTTCCTGTCAGCCTGGATCATAGCCATGACAGCCTCCCCGTTCCCTGCCCTCTCTGTGCGTGCATCTGTGCATGTGTGTATAAAGACAGAACTATTTAGACACATGGCTTTCAGAAGTTCCGTCACAGATATATACCCCATGTTCGTTTACAGTGAGTTTCACCCCACCCTTGAGTCTGTTCACTGAGAAGTGGTTGGGAAAGAGCTGAAGAGCCACTACAAATGATTGTAGATGGATGCAGTAACTTTTTGGGGTGAAAGATTTAGCAGCTCAGATGATAAGATTAAATTAAGATAACATTTACAAATGACATCTGCAAAGGGAGGCAGTTTTAATTAAGAGAATCTCCTTCCAAACTCCCCACTCATGGGGAAACTAAGGCTCATGTGCAGCGGCAGAACCAGGGTGATCAGTCTTCTATTTATTGACAGAAGATTCTATTTAATAAAGAGTGTATGGGCTGCCTGTAATTCCAGCACTTTGGGAGGCCGAGGCAGAAGGATCACTTGAGCCCAAGAATTCAAGACTAGCCTGGGCAACAAAGCAAGACGCTGTGTCTACAGAAACAAAAAAACAAAAAAAACGGCTCACACCTGTAATTCCCAGCACATTGGGAGGCTGAGGCAGGCAGATCATGAGGTCAGGAGATCGAGATCATCCTGGCTAACACAGTGAAACCCTTCTACTAAAAATGTAAAATAAATCAGCCAGGTGTGCTGGCAGGTGCCTGTAGTCCCAGCTACTCAGGAGGCTGAGGCAGAAGAATTGCTTGAACCTGGGAGGCAGAGGTTGCAGTGAGCCAAGATTGCGGCACTGCACTCCAGCCTGGGCGACAGAGTGATGAGACTCTGTCTCAAAAACAAACAACAACAAAAAACCATTAGTCCATTGAGGTTGTGTGTGCCTGTAGTGCCAGCTACTTGGGAGGTTGAGGTGGGAGGATCGCTTGCTAGATAGAGCCCAGGAGGTTGAGGCTATAGTGAGCTATGACTGTGCTACTGCACTCCAGCCTGTGTGACAGAGCGAGACACCTTGTCTTAAAAGAAAAAACACTTTTAAAGAAAAAAAAAAGGAATGGTAAAAGCCCCTGGATAAAACTGAGCAGGGGGAAGAAGGTAGAAGACAGAAGATGGTGAGTTTGTTGTCAGTTTGGGCTTCATCAGCGCCAGCCCACCATTCTCTAGACCATGGTTTTCTTATCTTTCACTGAGTGATTTTTTTTTTTTTTTTTTTTTGTGGCAAACCTCTGTGTTTGAGGTAGGTGGAAATGGTTAACCATGGCTGGGTCCTCTGCCTGGCCTGGGCTCCATGCTGCAGAGGGAGCATGGGTGGGAGCTGGGAGCAGTGAGCTGAGCAGCGGGTCGCTGGACTTCTGAACACAGGTAAGTGCATGCAAGGAGGCAGCGTGCAACCCAGCCCTCCGTGGGCCCAGATTGCTTCCTGTTAACAGTGAGCTCTCCAGGGCTGCCCTGCTTTTTTTTTTTTTAAATTCACACTGAAATTTTGTTTGGATCAAATGTTGCTTAAAACAAGAAGGCTGTTGGCCTCCATGGACAACCTTTTGTTTCAAAGAGCATTGTTATCATTGCCACGTTTGACCATTATAAGATGTCAGAATGTAACTTGTCTTTTTCGAAGCCGCTGCTGATCTGCTCTTGGTCAGGCCTCTCAGGATTCCAGCTTGAGAATCATCTAGAGTAATTGTGGAGCCTGTGGGAGCTAGGTCCACCCCATGAAGGGCGGGTGTGCGCTGGCTCCTACACCGTTTTTTGATTCTTCTTTTCCCTTCTCTTACAGTATTAAGGGACATCAGCGAGAGAGGCAGGGATCTTGAACAGATTTTATCTCAGTACATTACATTCGTCAAGCCTGCCTTTGAGGAATTCTGCTTGCCAGTGAGTTGTGTTCTCGGTTTGTTTTTGTTGCATGTAGAATTTAAAATGCGATGAGACAAATGAAGGTATGCAAGTTGGTGGAGCTCCCCTGCCCGAATCTCACTCCTCTCTCTGAGTGATCCTCTGTCCCGAAGTCCTAAGAGAGGGCAGCCCTTGGCCCTTGTGTCCTCTGTGTTCTCCAGGAGCCCTGTCCTGCTGTTCTTTCTTTGGGTAGCCCTGTAGGGTCCTGCCAGTCCTTAGGCAGGTCATTTAATTCCCAGCTAGTTCTAGACTTCTTGCTTGGTGGGATCATGGTATGAGACTCTTTACTGAGGGTGTATCATATCCAAGGAGAGTCCTCAGCCATTTGGATCTCTGAAGGGCCTGCAGTGGGTGAAGTATGGATGCACTGGGTCCTATGCCCCGAGGTGTTCCCCTCTGAGCCTCTCCCGCCATCACTGGTGAGCCCTGCTTTGAGCTTGTCTTTAGCTCCCATTTGGGGACTGTCACGCCTTACTGGAATAAGCTTCCTTCCCTTCACCCTTGCAGACGCACCAGTCCTTCCTGTGGCAGCTAGGAATTCTCTAGTGAGGTGGCTTTCAGAGAAGGAAGAACGGAGGGAGTTGGCCCTCAGCCCAGGAAAGACAGGAAGGGGCATGTTGAGGGAAGGCTACCAGAGACAAGAGGTGTGGTGTGGTGGGGCTGCAGAAGGAGAAGTATTTAACTCAGGAGAATCCTACTGAGTCACTGAGTCTTCTCCAGCTTGGCCAAACCATGGTCTGGCTCCTTAATTATTTATAGTTAAGCTCTGAGACGAGGAGGAAGGGTAGGAAGAGGTTGGGACTTAACCTGGTCTTGGTTGAGATACACTGGGAAGGCTGGAATCTCTGAAGACAATGAGAATAGATTTAGAGTAAGACTGGGTATTGGAATTTCCCTGTTTATTCTAATAAACTTCATTCTTTTTCTTCTGGGAAAATATGATCCTCAAACTCTTTGTTTCTTCAAGGATATTAGTAGCTTTTACAATAACCCATACTTGACTTTGGTTTTAGATGCGGGACAGGTGGACTTTTTGAGCCAACTGAGTAAGGTTGATGCCCTATCCATTATCCTGGAGACTACTGGGTTACAAGAGTAGGTTACTGGGAAGAGACCAGAGAGGGCTAAGGAGCGATGAACTTCTTTCCACCCATTTATCTATCTGAGGACCCCTCCTGTTATTTTTGACTTAATAAGAATACAAGATGAATTTATTATTGGAAATCAATTATAGTTAACTGTCAGTTTTCTGCTGTTTAACTTAGTTGTAACAAAGCTAAAATTTCTGCATAGACATTTTCTGAGTTATTTCTGCTTGCTCCCACTGTCCAGCCACTGTTTGCTCAGGGAAGATCAGCTCATTCCCGTGTAAGCCAGGAACTTGGACCTGATCAATGTCTGCTCAGTTTGACTTGGGTTTGGGGCTGACACCGTTGCCTTTCAGCAATCCTAGGGTGGAAGCTGCGCAGAGTAAGAAGCCCACACGCTTGAGGTGTGGTTTATGTGGTCTTATGCTAGACTGAGTTTATATACCAGGATGCAGTTATTTGTAGAATGGTCTACAAGATCTCAGTAAATTTGGAGCAACAAAAAAGAAATATGCCTCTTTGTGGCCTTTCTTTTTTAAAAAATTTGGGTAATAACAGAACCTATGAACTGGTCGTCAGTGAAGAATACTTTTTCTGGTTTTACCCTGTGCTAGGAGTGAACATTGTCATGTTTTAGACTATGCGTAAAAGTCTGAGGTGAACCAGTCCCCTGGAAAGTTTGGATTTTTCTAGTTCATATTTGTCCTAGTGGAATAGAGGCAATTAAGTGTTTGGCTTCAAAGACCATGTTCTCTGCGTAGGTCGTAAGCTGAAACAGTGTTAAGCGTTAGAAATGAGAACTTGGTTGGGAGCAGTGGCTCACGCCTGTAATCCTGAGACTTTAGGAGGCCCAGGTGGGTGGATCGCTGGAGCCCAGCAGTTTGAGACCAGCCTGGGCAACATGGTAATACGCCCTCTCTATAAAAAATAACAAAAAGTAGCTGGGTGTGGTGACGGGTGCCTGTAGTCCCAGCTACTCAGAGGCTGAGGTGGGACGATCTACCCAACTCAGGAGGTCAAGGCTGCAGTGAGCTGTGATGATGCCACTGCACTCCAGCCTGGGTGACAGAGTGAGACACTGTCTTAAAAAAATAGAAAAAGAGTGAGAGAGAACTTGAATAAAAGCTAAATTCTTGTAATGTAGATAAAGTGGATAAAAATCCATTGTAGATAATTATAAATTGAATTATGAATTGATTTTGGATTAACCACTCAGTCTAGACCATTTTCCCCTCACTGATACATAAAAGTCTTCAGTCCTTTGTTCTCATTTTCCTCATTCCCTGCTTATCTTCTTTCATTCACAATTCAGCTAAACAAGGCACTTCCTTAGGTTTCCCCAAATTTCTATTAATAGATGCATTCACTGTGAAGTTGTAAACAATATTATATTTGAAGCCTTAAAAGCTGCCCCTCTCGGCTCGCTAGTATGAAGGCTGCCCTTTCTTCATGTTCCCTTGGAGAGGGGCTTGCGCCAGTTGTCTCTGAACTGTGTTAATGCATTTTAACTGTCTTTCTCCACAGACAAAGAAGTATGCTGATGTGATCATCCCTAGAGGTGCAGACAATCTAGGTGAGTCCCGGCGGAGTGTCATCCTGGAGTATAACGTCTGCCCTTTGTCAGTCATAATTTGGGGCAGGACGTGGTGACCATACAGGGCTCTGCAGACCTGGCTGCCCTGCTTGTCTGTGATTGTGAGCCAGCAGAACCTTTCCACCTACATGTCTGGCCTCGGGAACAGATCGCTGGGTGTAGGCACCCTCGTGTTATGGGGACAGACAGGCACTTGTGCTTCTCTGGCAGAAATAGAGGGCTGTAGATTACCTTTTACTATCACTTCCCAATGATGACACTTGGATACTTTGCTTCTGAGGCCACCTTTTAGCAAAAGTAGATTCCCTCGATCTAATTTAGAGTGACCTGCCATCACGGTAGCTCTTTCTAAAGGGAGCTCATTGCTACCGTTATTGTACTTATTTTTCATTTTATTGTATTTTACTTTAGAGACAAGGTCTTGCTCTGTCACCCAGACTGAAGTGCAGTAGCACAGTCACAGCTCATTTGCAGCCTCCAGCTCCTGAGCTCAAGTGATTCTCCTGCCACAGCCTCCCAGTAGCTGGGACTACAGGCGTGCACCACCATGCTCTGCTAATTTTAAAAAAATGTTTTTGTAGAGATGGTTTTATTATGTTGCCTAAGCTGGTCTAAAACTCCTACCTCAAGCCACTGTCCCACCTCAGCCTCCCAAAGTGTTAGGATTATAGGCATGAGCCATAGCACCTGGCCCCATTGTTTTATTTTTTTGGCTTGTCTAGGAAGTATGAATGTCTCTGGACTAGGCATAGTGTGGCAGAGTTGATCTGTAAGATGGGACCTGGTTTCTTCATTCTCTTTAGAATTTATTTAATTTTCCCTTCTTTTGAAAAGATTATTTATTGAGCTGTTTGGAGTAAGTTATAGCAGTAAATATTTAACCCTGTATTTTTTAAGAACAAAGGCATTCTTTTTCATCACCACAATGCAGTCATTAAATCCAAGACACTTACCATTGATACGACCTCTTTTAACCTGGAGATGTTCCCTATCTTTTGTTTTTTTTAACACATTTTTGAAGCATACAGGCCCATTGTTTGGTAGAATGGTCCTCAATTTGAGTGTGTCTTTTGCTTTCTTATGATTGGATTCATGAGCTTATGTAATCTGAAGGAATTATCCCCGGAGAGAGATGGCGTGGTCCTCTTTGTTTATCACATCAGAGAGCATTTGATGTGTATTCCATTTTTGGTGATGTTAGATTGACCTCTTGGTTGAGGTATATAATTTATTTCTAATGCTAAGAAAAGATAGCTCTCTCTGTTGTGTGGTTTGGAGGGACAGAGGGCCTTCCATGGGGATGCTCTGTCTTAGGATGGAAAACTGGAAGGTTTCCTGGTGGAAAGGTCTCATAGCTAATTGATGTGGCAGAACCATGGCTGGTTAGCACGTCTGCAGAATTTGGCCCAAGTGCTTCATCCAGTGGTGACTGATCATCTCCTGATAAGATACCTATTCCTTAAGGGCTTACTCTGTGCTAAGCATTGTCTGTCTTAGCCCTCCTGCAAAGGAGAGGGATCATATTAGCCCAGGCAGAGCCACTGGGAAGTTGGATGACTTGCCTGCAAGTGGCAGAGCCACTTCCCTGGAAGTCTTTCAGCTGTGGTTCCTGCGTGCCCTTTCCCCAGACAGACTCCCTGCACCCGTGCCTGCACCCATAACGCTCTGCTGGTCTCTGCCCCACAGTGGCCATCAACCTCATCGTGCAGCACATCCAGGACATCCTGAATGGAGGGCCCTCCAAACGGCAGACCAATGGCTGTCTCAACGGCTACACCCCTTCACGCAAGAGGCAGGCATCGGAGTCCAGCAGCAGGCCGCATTGACCCGTCTCCATCGGACCCCAGCCCCTATCTCCAGGAGACAGAGGAGGGGTCAGGAGGCATTGCTCATCTGTACATACTGTTTCCTATGACATTACTGTATTTAAGAAAACACCATGGAGATGAAATGCCTTTGATTTTTTTTTTTTTCTTTTTGTACTTCGGAACGACAAAATGAAACGGAACTTGACCCTGAGCTTAAATAACAAAACTGTGCCAACTACTACTGGTGATGCCTAATTATGAATCCAACGTGTAACCAGTTATAAATACATATATATATAAAAGGATCTATTTTTGTGTAAATGTACAAATACTGTAAAGCTGTTTGCCATAAGTATTTTGCAGGAGGGTCTGTACTTGAGTCTTTTAGGACTGGAGCTGGAATTTCACCAAGGGGAAATTGCCTGTTGTGTCCCAGGGCGGGGAGGCTCGGGCATCTGTGAGAGACGGGGAGGGTGGCTAAGGTCCCATTGCTCTTGAGTGCCCCATGGAACTCGATGGGAGTGGGGTTGGAAAGCCTTGATTGCCTCCTCTGTCACATACCACTCTTGGAGCTGGAACTTAGTGATATGACAATGAGAGATACTCTTGTCTTTTTTCTTTTCTTTTTTTTTTTTTTTTTTTTTTTGAGTTGAAATTAGGTAAAACCTCAACTCAAAAATCAAACTCAGGGAAGAGGCCCACTGAGGAGAACAAGTCTTCTGCACTTGCTTCCTGCCCGGCTCCCACCCTCTCGCCTCTGGCTGCTTGGATAGCTTGGTGACTCCTTCCTCACCCTCCTGCTTCTCCGTCTCTCCAAGAAGCCAGAGCTGCCTCTTTCCTTCCCTGGAAGAGATTTTATGGGATCGCTTCCTGATAGAAGATGAAAAGGAGAGGGCAGAACTGTGCCTGCTGTCATATCTGAAGAATCACTGGTTCTTTCTGCTTCCCAGGGACGTAACTGATCTGACTCCTTGGGCTTTTTCCTGTATTGTGGAATATAGAGTGCCCCATTGCAGGCTGGGCGTGGGTGAGGGCTTCGGTAACTGACGCCGGCAGCAGCGCCTCACAAGCTGGCAGGGGAGCTCTGTAGTTTCTGTTTCCTGGAGGTTTGCAGTGAGGTGAGGAGAGTAACTTCGGTCAGGGATTCTCGCTAGCAGCATCACGGCCAGGATGATTTACTTACTTGCAATACCACCTAGTGGATATGGCAGCTGCAGAGCATAAAAGGGGCTCGGAAAAGCAGTTTTTAAAAAGTATTTAAAAGGAGAGTATTTAAATCATAGGTACCTAGGTTGGAGTCTGAGGTTGAAATATTTGGGGTGGAGATTTCTAGCTTTCCTGAGAGCCGCTGCTTGGTGGCAGTGTTTTCTCTGGAAGTACAGATTCCTGACATTCTGGGTGGAGGGGAGCCCAAGTGAGCCTAAAGGAGGTCTGATTATAGAGTCCCGAGCCTCAGTTTCTGACCACAGAAGAGCCAGAGATTTTCATTTCATTGTTGACCACCCTAGTGCTTGGTGGACTGTGCCCTTAGCTGTCCCACTGTGGCTGCCATTGCCAGAAACATTTTGGAGAACCTTCTCTTTACATTGCTCTCAGAGCCTGTGCGAGCCATTCAGGTAAATTGGTCTCCGTTACTACCTGGTCACACCAAATTTCCCCCTCAGATTCAGCACCATCCAGTCTGATTCCCCTTCTCTGGGTTCAGTTTGACTCTAAATCTGTTTTGCTATTTTAGAAGAGTCAAACCTAGTCCCCAACAGAGCTTGCCACCCGGAGACTTTCAGGAGACCATGCAGGCTCTGAAAGGAGCTCCCAGTCACAGCAGCTGCCTACTTGGAGCAAAGGAAGGCCCCCAAGATGCCTCCTTTGAAAGCCAGAGCTCAACAGGATGGCTGAGTTCTGGAGTGTGTGTTCAGGATCAATCATTATTATCCTTGTAGTCATGGCTTGATCTGTTCTGAGATGAAGCAGGGAATGCAGGCCCGGGTTAGCATCCTGAGGACACAGGGCCCCTGGCCTTGACGGCACTGGGCCGTGCTCAGGTGAAGCCCACCCCTGTCTGGGAGAGCCTTGGCCTTTCAGTGGGCAGCATGCTCAACTTTACTTGAAGCTCCCAGGTGCCAAACCATTTAGTGCCTTGGCTGTTTATCCCACTGCCTTGGAAGATGGACTCGTCTCATCTCTGAGCCTTTACCTAGCTGCTTCCTCATTTACCTGTGGTGTTGGGACCAAGCCTCCAGTATCTCTGAGTAGGCCACTCCTAGCTTGGAAACAGCTATAAGGGCTGCCCTGCCCCTTGTCAAATGATCACCAATTCTTGGTGGCTTGGCTGGGGACACAGAACAGTGTCTGCTGGGGTCTGCGACACCATGTCTGGAACAAGGAAGGGATAGAAGGCTCTACCCCTCTGTGGCAGCCCAGCATTTAGCCAACTCTGTATCTGAACTTGAGCTTTCTAGGAACAAACAATGGTCTTAGTTTTTTAAGAGCCTCTGGGTCTCTGATTCCATGGAGAGTTAGGAGTAGAATTATTAGACCAGAAACCATGACATTTGCCATCAAGGTACTCTTTGCTGTTCAGGGTGGAGGCACAGATGAGCAGAGTGGGGTGATGTGGGTTGTATGTGCATGCAAGTCCCCTGGCTCCAGAGCCATCCAGTGGTGCTCGGTTCTGTCTTCCTGCCCAGGTATTGTGTGTGGACCAAGTGTTTAGGAAACAAGCCCAGAAGCATTATGTCACAGGAAGGCCTGGCCTCACACTCCTTCACACTAATGAGCCGTCTACTGACCCAAGTTTCTTATTCTTGGGCAACCTGGGACCACTGAGCAGAGAGATGGGAGTCTATGTAAGAAGGATGCAAGTGTCCTTTGATTTGGAGCGGACAGAGCAGGTCCTTGCAAAGGCAGTGGGTTAAACAACGGGATGTCTGTGCGACAGGCCAGGGGAGGAGGGCAGAGACAGGGTCTCCAGTTCACCTTGCCGCAGAACTAGCCTAATCATCCCTGCTTCTGGTCTTGGCCACTTGGCCATCATGGGGAAGTTGACTCCCCGCCTTACTTGGACTTGGAGCTGGATACTTGTGGGCACACCCTGGGTGGGTTGCCAGCATTTCATTAGGCCGCTGGCTCGGGCCGGAGGCTTGTGTACACTTCAGAGCAGTCGGGCAGCAGGAGGGCCGGAAGCCTGGTTGGTTTGTATATGATCTCTCTTGCTGCTCTCGTGCACTTCCCTTGATTTAGCAACCTTGACCTGCACTGGCCCCCATGGCTGTTGGAGGGAAGTAGCCTCTTGCAGGGAAATACTTTCCTCTGCCCTGGAATCTCCTATGTGCCTGTTAAAGATTCCAGGGCCAAGAACTGGGCAGGCTGAGGAGCAGCTAGGTAGGTGGGTTATGGGGTTCAGGACTGCTTCTGGAAGGGACCGCCTGTACTTCTGTACCACCGTTGCCCTTTACACTTTGCTCAGGGTGGGGTGGGGGAAGCATTCAAACAAAACAAGGAAGGGAACTGTCTGGCAAAGGCATAAGTGGATGCATCCAGAGCTCAGTCCCCTTTCATCTTTTGTCTCTGGACGTTCTGCTGCCCTCCTCATACTGGGGACTGGCATTCCAGGTCAGCTTGGCTGTGGTCTTAGAGGCAGGGAGTGCCTACCCAGTCCTGCCTCAGGAGCAGGGTGAGTAGCTAAATACAGACTTAGGCTTCCCCCCCCCCCCTTTAAGATGCTTGCTCCTCTCCCTTTTCTTTTTACCATCCAACCTTTATTGTTAGTGGTTACAAAGTGACCACATATTATGTACTTTGCTGTAAATAAAGACAAACGAAAAGGATCCGGCTCTCGCCTTCTGTGTGATGCTTGGCCCAGAGCAGCGACCGAATCCTGGCTGTGAAGCCCGAGTGGCTCCAGAAGGGCCATGCTGTGCATATGCGGTATAGATGTCACTGGGCCTGCTGTCATGAAGCCCTCATGATCCTGGGGTGTATGTGGGGCAGACCCCAGGCCTCACCTGGGCTCAGATACCGGTTCAGGTAGTGGACTTGCAGTTCTTGTCAAGTGGGAAGCCCGGGCCAGGGTTTCTGGAAGCCTTTGGTTCTTAGGACATTCTGGCGCTGTGTTCCCCCTATGCTATCCAGTTTACCTGGCCTCTGCCCCATTGCCTTCCTTAGGCTGGTGACCCAGCCCCTTCCTTGCTCAAACAAACCCATTTAAAGTAAACTTTTTTGAGGGAGGTGGGTGGAAGATGAGGAAAGTTTACATTATAACAACACAAAACAGTTGCATGTTGCCCACACGCTGTGAATGGATGTATATGTATGTTCATCCCTGTTTTTCAAAGACCTAGGCCGCCCACCAAAAATAGAAAAATGATTGGCTTTTGTCAGGGTGTGGTGGCTCATGCCTGTAATCCCAGCACTTTGAGAGGCTGGGGAAGGAGGACTGCTTGAGGCCAGGAGTTCGAGACCAGCCTGGGCAAGAGGGTGAAACCCCATCTCTACTAAACAAAAATTAGCTAGGTGTGGTGATGCATGCCTGTAATCCTAGCTACTCGGGAGGCTGAAGCACGAGGATCACTTGAACTCAGGAGGCAGAAATTGCAGTAAGCCGAGATCGCACCACTGCACACCAATGCAACAGAGCAAGACTGTCAAAAAAAAAAAAAATGGCTTTTATGCTCTTTGTGGCGCCCTATCCCCTATCAACTTGCCACCTTTCGTAGCTTCTCATTCATCTCTTCCACCACTGCCTGCCAGGCACCCAATGACTGTCATTGATGGGCAGAGCCATTTTCTTTCTAGCCACTAGTTCCACTCTGACAGGTACAACCCCATCTGTGAATTTAGCAGGTTTTTAACAGGATCTGTCCTCAGAAGGTGGCTATTTTAAGCAACACTCAGGTGCTCCTGCAAGAGCTAATGTAAGCATTGTCAGCTTCTGGCAAGTGAAGACGTTGTGAGTCACAGGAAGTGGCTTGCCTGATGTCACACAGGCAGTGGTCATGCAAGGCGGTGCTTAGCTGTGGTTCAGTTTCCCTCTGCACTGCTCGCAATCTCACCTGTCCCAAGCCGACCACCTCTGGACTTTGATGCTTTGCTTGGGATGCCACTTGGTTCTCACTGTGTGTTTCTGCACCTTTGTTGTAGTTGGAGGGGACTGTGGTGCAGGCCAGTAATGCCCCGGAGTCGA